AATTTAACTTTAACTTTGTTCTTTCAGTATTTATTTATATTATTTACTGTATATTTTGCAGAATGTGAAACTCATTTTAACACAGGTGGCTAAAATGACAGGAAAAGTACAGTCTATATATTCAAGGCAAATAATGTTCAGTTTACTTATTGACCGTGGAATAGCATGTACAGTATTGAAAAAGTGACCAAAAATATTTTAAGATACTGAATTTTAGTAGAGTTTTCTAAACTGTTGGCCAAAAAGTTGTTGAAGATGGAAAGAGAGAGCCAGTATCATGATAATTCAGGGTGGTTCATTTCCAGATTTTTCACTCCATTATTAAGGAATCCCCTAAACTTTTTTATTTCTATTAATCATCCAAACTTATTGCTGTATTCATGTAGCCTTTTCTTATCACAGGAATAATAGGAAGAAAAGCAATTTTTTCCTTCCAATTTCAAAATGTAGTTTTATAGTAAAGTATGATGGTTCTGGTCCCTTGTTTTTGCTATAAGCAAAAATGTGAAACATTTCACATTAAGTGAAATGTGGCTTATTTCAAATGAGATGCGGTTTAAAATGAAAAAGAAGTCCTTCTCTGAATGACTTTTTTTTTTAAAGATTTTTTTTTTGTTTCAATTATTTAAAAGATGTGGATAGGGTTTGGTAAAGTTACCAAATTCGTGCTTACTTCCTTATTGTGCCCAGCCAAATTACATTTTGGAAAGGATATTTTGTACAATTCCAGGGAACCTGCTGAAGAATCTCTTCCATTCAGGATCACTTTCAAATTTTTGGCATCATTTTCAACGTACATTGGCCCCTGCTCCCTGCTGCCCTCTCCTCTCTGTAAAAGTGAAATAGCTGACATGAGCAAATAGTACAGTATTTTGTTTCATGTGTTTCCAGGTTTGCATGGTTATTCGCAAGTGGTTTAATTCCTTTTATCTATTGTCCAACAGTTACAATGTGACAGAATGTCCCTAGCTGTACTTTGCATATTCAATAAAACTATTGATCTTCATCTGCAGAATAGCTTAGTATCTTCTGATCAAAGTAATTAGAAATCTCCTCGTAAATGCATACCATGTTTTAGAGGTTATTGAATAAAATCATAGCTTCTGTCTTTGAGCATTATAAATATTCAACTACTTGATACTTCTGTTCATATAATTTAGAATTACGGCTGAGTATTTCAATTTTAATGAGATCGAAGAGTTATAATGTTAAGGTGTTCAGGAGTTGTGAAGACTAACATTTATTTTATTTACACGTCTATTTTGGGAATGTGTTTGTTTTCCGTTTTATTGTAGTATAATTCGCAGGCAGTAAAATCGACCAATTTGTGTTTATAGTTTAAATTCTGAGAAATGTTTAAATAGTGTAATCACTACTCCATCGTGACAGAAACATTTCTGTTAGCTCAAAAGTTCCCTTCTGTCCCCTTGCAGTCTTGTCGTTCAGTCCCTGTTAATCAATAATGTTTTCTGTCGCTACAGTTTTGCCTTTTCTAAATAATCACATAGATAGAACCATACAGTAGGTAGTCTTTTGTGTCTGGCTTTTTTTTTCTTTTTTAACTTTGCATGATACTCTTGCGATTCATCCATGTTGTTTGCATCAGCAGTTCAGTCCTTCTTGTGAGTTTGTTGCATTTCATGGACATGCTGCAGTCTGGCAGTTTTGTCCGTTTACCATTTGACGGCTATGTGGGCTGTTCCTAGTTTGGAGCTGTCATGAATTGAACTGCTCTGAAAATTATAGTACAAGTCTTTGTGTGAACATAATTATTTTTCTTGGGTAAATATCCATGAGTGGGAACTACCAAACTGTTTTCCAAAGTGACTATACTATTTTGCATTCTTTCAGGAACATTTCCATGTTCCAGTTACTCTGCATTTTTGTCAACACTTGGTATTATCAGTCGTTAATTTTGACTGTTGTAATAAATGTCTATTGGTATGTCCTGGTAATTTTAATTTGCATTTTCCTGTTGGTTAATCATGTTGAATATCTCATTCTGTGCTTATTTGCCATTCATTTATCTTTTTTATGAAATGTTTATTCAAATCTTTTGCCCATTTAAAGAATCATGTTGTATTATTGCATTTTAAGTTTTGTTTTATTTTTATATATTCCGAGTAGGAATTCTTCAGCAGATAGGTGTTTTGTAACTGTTTTCTCCCAGCTAGTAGCTTGCCTTTTCATTTTTCTAACAATGGTTTTTGAGGAACAAAAGTTTTTAATATTGATGTGGTTGGATTTATTGGTTTTTTTTTCATGCTTTTTTTAAAAAGTATGCTATCTAAGAAATCTTTGCCTAACCCAAGCTCACACAAAAATATTCCACTAGGTTTTCTTTAAAAATGTTATAGTTTTAGCTTTAACAATTAGCTATATAATCTATTCTGAGTTCATTTTTGTGCAGATGGTGTAGTATAAGGCTTGAGATTTGGGGGGAGTTTTGTTTGTTTGTTTGCCTATGAATATCTAGTTGTCACAGCATCATTTGTTCATAAGACTGTTTTTTCCCCCATTGAAATATCTTGTCATCTTTGTCAAAATCAATGGGCCCCATCTGTGAGGGTCTGTTCATAGATTCTCTCTTCTCTTCCATTGATCTATGTCTGTCTTTACACCAGTACCACACTGGCTTGATTACTGTAGCTTTTATAGCAAGTCTTGAAATCATGTAGTGATCAATGTGGGGAGACTTAATAACCATACTGAGTTTTATGATCTATAGATATTGGATCTCTTTGTATTTATTTAAAACTGCTTTAATTTTTCTCAGCCATGTTTTGTAGTTTCCAGAGTACAACTCTTACTCATATTTTCTTAAAATTGTCCTTAATTTTATATTTCTTGATGCCATTGTAAATGGTATTGCTTTTACTTTTAATTTTAATTTCCAATTGTTCATTGTTAGTATATAGATCTAAATTTTATTTCTCTACTTTACTGAACTGGCTAGGACCTCCAGAACAATGTTGAATAAAAATGATGAGAGTGGACATATTTTTCTAGTTCCTGATCTCAAAGTGAAAGAAAGCATTTTAGTTTTTCACTGTTAAGTATGATGTTAACTAGATTTCTTTTTATAGATGACCAATATCTGGTTGAGGAATTGCCTTTCTGTTCCTAGTGTTCTGAGAGTTTTATCATGAATAGATGTTGAATTTTGCCAAATTCTTTTCATCTATTGATAATCATCAGTTTTTCAGTTTTTTGGTCTGTTAATAAATTGATTTTATGATTGCTAAACCAACCTTACATTCCTGGGATGTATCCACTTGGTCTTAATATATTTAATCTTTTCGTATATTGGTGGATTCAGTTTGTGTAAAATTTTGTTCAGGATTTTTGCATCTATGTTCTTTGGTTTTAGTCAGAGTAATTCTGGGCTCATAAAATGAGTTGTGTGCTATTAGTCTCTTCCATTTTCTGTGTGAGAGTTTGTGTAGAATTGGTATTTCTTCCTTAAATATTTGGTGGCATTCACCATTGAAGGCATCTGGGCCTGAAATTTTCCTTGTACGAAACTTTTACACTATGAATTCAATGTCTTTGATAGAATAAGGCTATTCAGTTTATCTGTTTTCTTCAGTGAATTTTGGTACTTAGGTAGTTTGTATAGTTTCATGGAATGTTTCCATTTCATCTAACTGGATGAATTTATTACAGTAAAGTTCATAATACTCCTTTATTTTTTCAATATCTGCAGGATCTATATTGATATCTATCTTTAATTTCTGATATCAGTAATTTACAACTTTTTTTTGTTCTTGATCAGTCTAGCTAAAGCTTTGTTGATGTTATTGATCTTTTTAAGGAACTAGCTTTCTTGATTTTATTGTTTTTCTCATTTCTGTTTCATTGATTTCTATTCTTTATTTTCTTTATCCTGCTTACTTTGGATTAACATGCTCTTCTTTTTCTAGTTTGTTAAGGTGAAAATTTATATCACACTGACTTGGGACCTTTCTTCTTTTGTAATATAGCATTTAATGTTATAAATTATTTCTTTGATTCAGGGGTTATTTAGAACTGTTTTTTCAAACATTTGGAATTTTTCCAGATATATTTTGGTTTTGGTTTCAGATTTAATATTATTGTGATCAGAGTGCATACTTTTTATGGTTTTAGTCTTCTTAAATTTGAGCCTTATTTTATGCCACAGAATGTTTGATTGTTTTGAGGTTGATTTTATGCTACAGAATGAGAACATTCCATGTGCACTTGAAAGGAATTTGTATTCTGCTATTATTGGGTAGAATGTTGTACGTGTTGGTTAAGTCAAATTGGTTGATGTTTTTCAAGTTTTCTATATCCTTGTTTCTACTTGTTTTATTAATTACCAAGAAAGGAGTGTTGAAATCTTCCATGGTAATTTAAAAAATTATATTATTTCAAATTTAATGAAAGTAGAAGGTTATAATGTTAAGATGGTTGGAAGTTGTAAAGACTAAGTGTTTAAATTTTTCAGAATTTTGGGTGAGAGAGGTATATTTGCTTTTTGGCATCACACAGACTTGGCATTCCAATACCAGTCCTCCTATTTATTACATTAGCAACCCCTCCGAGCCTGTTTCTTCTTAGGATAAATAGAGATACGTAGAATTTTTAACATGATACCTGGTGTACAGTAATTCTCACATAGGAATTATTTTTGTATTTTTTTAAACTTGCAAACAAGGACATCAAATATATATTTTAATATTTGGTCAATTTCATCTGCCCTTCTTTTTTAAAATTTCACCCTGGACCTGCACGGTGGCCTTCCTCTTTGTGTATCTTTTCCTGTTGCTTTTTCCTAGCTTTTTGTGACAATCTCTTTAGAACCTTAATTGAGCACAGATTGCATCGGTTGTATTGTAAGAAGGTTTTTTTCTTGACATAATGGTATTCACCTTGTATTAAAGAAAAATATAGGCGGTTTGGTATAGTAGATATACTTTCAGCAGCTGTAAATTCATATTACTTGAGTGTCTGAACTCAGTGTTTTCCCTTCCTTTCAGATAAACCAAGAAAACTGGTGTACAATAGAGCCATGCCCTGATGCAGCATCTCTTTTGGCTTCTAAGCAGAGCCCAGGTAAGCAGAGATTTTCCATCCCTTTTTTGGAGCCACAGTCCCACTCTAATATTTTGTTTGGAGATCTGCCCTTTAGCATGTTATACCATAAATCAGAGAAAGGGATATATGTGATTTGGGTTTGTAGGCACTTTGTCAGTTGAAGATGAGCGCATGAAATTGCCTTAATTTTATTGTAGTAAACAGATTTCCTGTGTGATTTTGTGATTTATTAACTTATTTGTGAAGGTATCTGTGCTGTGCATATATATATGATACAGATTTTTTAAGCTGGTAAAACTATAAATACATTATTAAGGGATAAACCTGTAGTTCTCAATTTTGGCTGCACGTTGGAATTCTCTGGGGTGAGCAAGCTTTAAAATTACACTGATTCCTGGGTCCTACTCCCAGAGATTCTGATTTAATTTTAATTGGGTGAGGTGTGACATGAGCATCAGAATCTTTAAAAGCTCCTTTGGTTACCCTTGTATGCAACCGAAGTTAAGGACCATTACACTTTGGAAGTATTGTCAGGAAGTGAGTCCTTAAGCGCCTGTGAGTTATTAGCAGTAGCAGAAGAGGGGGTAAGATGCTCTTAAGACCTTGCTTGTTAATGACACAGCATGTGACTCATGGTTAGTTAGGATTCCCAACTTTTAACCCAGCTTCAGCCACTAACTCTCTGTGATGTAAGTGTGTTCTCTAACATCTGTGTGCTCTATTGTGTCCCATCCGTAAAGTATTACTAGCTTGCCTCATTGGGGGGTGTTGTACAATGACTTGGTGAGTGATATTTATGTCCCTGTGCCTGTTCTCACAGCTGCTAAGTGAATACTAGTAGTTTTCATTCTGGGTTTTTGAGTCTGCCTAACCCCAAAAGCCTCTGTTTACCTTCCCAGTTTTTACTAACCAGCTTTAAAAATTACTGAGTCCTTCTCATTTGCTGGTCTTTTTAGAAACAGTTTAGCTGTAGGTACCCTGCAGTAGTATTAAATTTAAAGACAAACTGTTCAAATCCTCTGTCTTCAGAAAGGTTTCCTACTAATTCTCAGCTCTCTGACTTTACGACAAAGGAAGTATTGAAAACAAATGTGAAAAGTGTTTTTCTCTATTTTTGTCTCACTTTTTGAGAGTGTTTTGAAGGGTTATTTTGAGCATGTTAGCACGCTCAGCCTGCTGGCCATGTGACGCCCTGTGCCACCTCAGGACTCTGTAGAGAGTCCCCACAGCAAGAAGGCTCTCATCAGATGTGGCCCCTTAGCCTTGGACTTCTCAGAGTGAAGTCTGTCTCGCAGAGTGTCCTGCTTTGGGGATTTGTCTTGTTTTCTTGTAGTGCTGTTTGTAGTGAAGTTTTGAAGAAGGATGAAAAAACTTGGAGCTTGAGCTGGAATCCCTGGGCTGTCCCAAGGACACATGCTCTACTACCCATAAGAAATGAGGGAAGAGACCCATAAACAGAGCATACACACTTTTTTGTTTATTGTGGTAAAATATATGTATAACATAAAATTTTTTTTTAAAACGGGATTATTTTATGCTATAGGTGTCTTTCAAGTCTTCACGTCTTATAAGATTGACCATGTTAACAGATTTAGCTGACACTTCCCCATCCAGCCCCCTAGAATCTTCTACTTAAAAATATACCACTTACTATGTTTTGGTTCCTTAAACTGTTTGGGGCTTTTTCTAAAAGTGTAATTACTCCCAACCACCCAAGTGGTGAAACTTTCTGCCAAGTGAAGGTTAAATGAGGTTGCCTCACAGTTTGAATATTCATCAGAAGGAAGGATCTCCACACATTATAGTTTAATTTAGTCATTTAGAGAAATGATTTTTGAACCTTTGAACATTTTCTCCAAGGCATAACTTTGAATTTGTTAGACCCCTCCACACCCTAACCCCAAGCATACGCAATGTGGTCCTTTTAGAGTAATTATTTTTAAACCTCAATTTAACAGAAATCCATTATCTGGATTATGCTACTGGACTTCACATCTGAGATTTTGAATTTTGGCATAGTTTTGTGTGAATCCCAGGTACTTTGTCTTACAGGTTTTTTTCTTTTACTTGATATACACTTTGTCACTAGAGCAACACCATTAGGCCAAATAAGATAATATGGTTTTAAATCACTTCATATACTTTTTGCTACTGGATGAATATAAGACAGGATTATGATTAGGATGGTTTAACAAAGCCCAGTGGATGTTACTGGTATGTTTTTTACCTTTCCCCAATTACAGTTTGTTTGCATTTATGTCATTTTAAACCCAAATGACTAGATAGCGTCTTCAAAAGTATATGTTCTGCTAGCTTTTAAAAAGCTAATAGCTCAGTGCACAAAAATTACAAACAGATTTATATACGGATCATGAAACAGGACTGGCCCTAGCTATGCCCACCTTCAGAGTACTATCATTTGGATACTTACTGAATAATACCTCAAAGATTAATGAAGCCTTCACTTCCTCAGGCACATCTATCAACACATCTTCTCCGTGCTGAGGACCAGAGTTCTTGTTACTATATGTGTAAATTATTTCTAACGGTCACTACAACTCTTTTAGGGAGTTCCTAATCATCTCATGTCACTGGTATGGTAATGGAAACATAGAGGAGTTAAATTACTTCTTGTCTGGGGTCTGTCTTCTAGTAAGTAGTCAGACCTAGATTTAATTTAAGCCAGATCAGTCCAACTCTCAAACCAGTGCTCTTTGCTCTTGTTTACACTTTGATACGCTGCTCTACTTTATTCATTAGGAAGGGGGCATGTAGGAGGAAAGGAAGGATATCATGAATTTTGAAAATTTACCAACACATGTGACACTGGGTGTGGATTAGCTTAGCCTTTAGGGATTGCCCCCTCATGAGTGTTGCAATGGCTCACGGTCCTTCCCTCCCTTATTCCTTTTTTTCATACTCTTCCCTCCTCCCCACACCAGCAGTCCACATTATCTCACACAGCAGACTCTTCTTATCCCAGACTTGGTTTGTGGTCCCTGTAGTGCTAGCTCAAATTTATTTTCTGAGTGAGATATCCCTACCAGGGCTGAATCTGGATCTTCCCCATGAATTTTCCATTAGAATATCTTGAGCTGGTTTGTTTTCTAGTCTGGAATTTGGACGTGGTCCGTTAGACTGCCAGCTGGACAGCTAACAGCTCAGCATAGTTGCTGTGACAGCCCTTTCTTTTCCCGGCCAGCCCCCTAGTTTTCTCTCAAACACAGAATGGAGTTTTTTATTTTTTCCAAGTGGGGAAAGGGAAAAGAGTGGAAAGATCTCACACACACACCAATATCACCTAAGTTATTGCACACTTTATGAAATATGGGGAAAAAGAAGAACCCTCCAGAATACCCATAATTTACAGTCTTTTAAAGGCAGGGCTATTCCCATTGAACTGACACACTCCAAAATAGTTTGGACCAAGACTGGAATGGACTATGGTCATTTTTTTAACGGAAACATTTTCAGATTAATCCATGGACCCTGCCTCACTTCTTGTGGCATATTTTGTGTAATTCTGTGTTGAAATTATCTCTTAATATGTTCATTTCACCACAAGACTGTAAACCACCACCTCCACAAACACTAATCATCTCTTTATTTGGATACTCCCTACTACCTACCCAGATGCCTAACTATAATAGAAAAGGTGACTTTATTGATGAATGAATCATGACCTACATCAGTGCAGTGCTTCCTTGACTCTTCCTCTAAGGTATCAGGGCAGCTAATTAATTGATTATCAATTACTAATTAACAGTTAAGTAAGAACTTCTTATCTCTCTCATCACATATACACAATTATAATCCAAGTATAAAATCTAAGAATCAAAAAGACATTAGAAATATTTAGTCCAATCTCTACTTCCCCCTCTATGTAGGTATCTTTTCTGTAGTGTCTGCCATAATCATTTAGTCTCTGCTCCAACCTTTCTGATAAGTTGATTCTCACTACTCTATGAGGTTGCCCAAGCCCTTGCCCAGAAGCCCCGCCACAGCAAAGGTCTGCAGCTTACACTCAGTCATCTTTGCTCTGCCCCCGGAACGGCACAGAGGGAATCTAAGACCGCCCTTAGGCAGATTTTCTTCATGCTGCTCTGCAAGCAGAATGTATCTCAGATGTTTCCACTGTTGTGACCTCATTACTATGTACATATTTTTATTTATCAGTGTTCTAATTTAAACGTTATCTAGGAACAAGCCACAACCCTGTGGGACTGTCGCCATTTTGGATTCTGGTACACTGTGTATTAATAGAACCTAAAACTCAGTGGTTCTTTGTTTGTTTTGCCATCACCTCGTATTGTCAGTTCCTCTTGAATTTTCTTTTTTGGTGGAAACCTCCAGGTAGAGTTCTCACGAACTGCTAAGTAGCCAGGTTTTTCACTCTGCCCCTTATCACTTAATGTCACCTGCCAATAAGAGAAAGTATGCTTATATGTCTGTCCAAGTCTCACATTAAAATGTTTCCTGAAATGGAGATGTACTACTCTTTCCTTCAAAACTTCTTGAAGGAGGTGGATAGCCACCCACTAATCGACATTTTGGGTGCTTGGTTTCACCATTTCCAAATCTCTTTAACCCTGTTGTTACCAAGTCACGCGTCTCCTTTGCTTACAAAGTTAATAGGAAAGAATAGGTCATGCCTTGCTAATTTTAAGATACTAAGGTTTCAGGATTCCTCGATGTACCAGTGTAATAGTTCTGGCAAAGACCCCTCCCTCGGTTCTCCAGAGTCCCCTTTCTGGATATCGAACTGAAAACAGATTCTAAAAGATACATTTTTGTGCTTCAGCACATTATTCCCCCAATGTGAGATCTATTTAAGGTAGAAAAAGTTAAATTATATTTCTGTTATTACCATAAGTGTTTATTAGGTATGTCCCCCCTTTGATAAGGTAACAAGTTTCCAGAAAGAATTTTAATCTTAAAACAGAAATTGGCCACAAACCATTATCACCCAGTTTCCTCGTAATGGACTTAAGATTTTGGTGGCAAAAGAAAAAAATTCCCTAACTACCAGAAGGAAAACATTACCATTTAGGTACCTAAATATAGGTGGAATATGATGCCAAATCATCATTTTATCATTCTATGCTTAAGATAAACATGGCAGGCTCATGATTGTCCTATAGTCACTATATTAACCTAGAATTGGAGTAGCAGAGCTGAAAGCTACTAATTTGATTGTGTTCTTTATAGCTTCTTAATATTGAAAAAAGGAAAGAAGGAGGGAAGGAAGAAAGAGAAGAAAGAGTGAGAAAGGTTTAAAAAGCTGGTTGCTAGGATGAAAAGAAAGTACTTTTTTTTAAGTATTGACTGAATAAATTTTCTTTTTCAGAATGTGGGAACTTCTTGGATGTTGGAGTGAACAGAGAGTGTGCCTCAAAACAAGATGTACTTAAACGAGAATCTGGGAGTGATTCTGACCTCTTTCACTCACCCAGTGATGAAATGGACAGCATCATCTTCCCAAAGGTATGTGGGGGAGGTCCCCTTCCTTTGCTTTTGTCCGGCAGCTCTCATGCTCCTATTTGGGCTTCCCAACCCTTTTCCACCTTGTTTGCTCCTTTCTCTTGTGCTCGTTGTCTTCCCCAGACATACTGTTTCCCTCAGTATGTAACTCCTGCTGGTAGGTTGTGGTCCAGCTAGCCTTATAGGGTTTCACTCAATGTCAGAACAGTGTAAATATTACCTTTTGGAGAAGGAAACCTCGGGGTTTATAAAAAGACATTGAGCAAATTTATTTTATGCAGAATCATGGCAGGTTTTGAAGTTCATATTAAAGTCTAAAGAAATGGAAGTTTCTTTAGAATGAATTAAGTCAGATGACATTGAACACTTTTCAGTGGGCAGGAAGGGACCGCAGCTCAGACAATATGATGTCATGTGTATAAAGTAACCATAGAGTCATTTCTGATGAATGTGTTTAGGCCTGAAGCTTGCTGTTGAGTGTGATGATATCAACCCTCCCCATCTAGTCTGTTTAATTAGAACTTTCTAGGTCTCTGCTAGGGAATCCAAGCTTTCTCCATAGTGAACCGCTCGCTCATCCACGTGAATCAGCTCACGTTTGCATATAATTTGAGGCTGTCTAAGGGAGGTGGGGGATGGGTGCGGATTGCTTTCTTTGCTTGTATTTCTTTCTAGTTGCAGCACGTTCTGTTTTGTCCCCTGATAAGAATAGAGAGACGGCTTTCCCACAGCTGAGACAGTAAATGGTACTCAATTATATGCTGCAAGTGGTTTTCTTAATAGTAAGGGAGTGAAGGGACAGAAACGTTGTGGCAGCTGATAGGAAGACTGTTCCTTCTGATTTTATGCTGACTTTAGAGAAGTGGTGAGAGCAGTTGTGTTAGTGGGTGATTAAATTATCCAAGGTGGTGTGATGTTGCTATGTTTAGAAGTTATGATATAAGAATGGACGCTTAACGTTCTGGAACATATTGAAGCCTCTATGAATGTACCCTGTGTACCTTCCTCTCATTTTTGGCCATCCCTAACCCTTTTTTACCTTGTTCCTTTCTCTCGTGCTTATGGTCTTCCCAAGGTCCCTGGAAGGGATTATGGTACAAACTTCAGGATTTCTATCATTGTGTTACTCATAGTGAATTGACTCAAGGAATTCTGTAAGGTAAAAACTCCACACGTTGGAGAAGATCTACCCTTTTCTGTAAGTTTAGGAAGAGGGAAATCAGTAGGGGTTTTTGCTGTTGTTTTTTAAGTATCAGAATTAGGATAATTTCCACTGTGACTTTGAGATTTTAATTGTTAAGGACAAGGGGGAATACCATTCTGAGGGTCTCCAAAAACATACTGTTTGTCTGAGTTCCAGCTTTAAAATGGGATCATTGATAATCATTGAAACTGGGTCATGGATACACAGAGATTTGTTAAACATTTGTGGGTGTTTGAAAATTTTTATAGTAAAAAATTTTTAAAAATTTAAGTATCTTCATTAGGAAATACTCGCTTGCTACCTCCTAGGTGCATGACAGCTTGTCCCTGAATGTGACCATCTCTGCAGAATAATAGTTATTTCTGGTCACCAAACTGCATGGTTTTCCTAGCTAAGGAGAACTAGAATTTCCTATATTTTACTATATTTTACCTTCTAATTCAGTCTCCCAAAAGCATTTAGGAGATAGTTCATACAAATGAACTGTGTTAGATTTGACAGGCTTTTTCTTTTCAGAAAAACTAGACAGTTGAAATTTTTAAAAGTTGAAGCACATGCCCCAAATAAACATTTACCTACATTTCATACCATTGCTTAGGGAAAACCAGAAATGGTGGATGTGCTTTTATTCTTCATGCATGTATGACACTGTCTAAATGACCTGGGAAGAGATTGGGAGGATTTTTCCTCTTAGTATTTCTGCTCTGCCAAAGCAGTTTGTGAGCAGGGCCAGCTTTGCAATAAATGTTTTCTCTAGTATTAATAAAACCAAGGGCTAACTTATGAAACGGAAATGAGAGAAACTAATATTGATAGAGTGCTTACTATACACTAGGCACTAAACTGAATTCTTTATATATTTGATCTCATTTCATGTGCTCAGCAACCCTGACAGGTAGGTGGTAGAGGCTCTGATTGGTAAAGAAGTTTGTCCAGAATTACTCAGCAGGTGAAAAACAAAATTGAGGTTTGCGCATAGTCCTGACTCTAAAACCTGTTTTTTGTTTTTGTTTTTGTTTTTGTTTTTTTTTTTACTCTCAATCTCCAAAAACCTTTTGTAATAGCCAATGATTTATATTAGAAGCACGGCACTGGCAGACAGGCCATCAGCTACTTCCTTAAACATTTTCCTCAGTGCCCACCCACACAGCATGTGCTGGTGAAATAATCAGAATGACCTAGAGTTTCTTCCCAAAGTCTAACCCTCTTCTCCTCCAGATTATATGTAGGCAAGATGTTACAACAGCCTTTTCTGTGAACCTTGAGTGGTGCATTAGGTCACTTCCTGCAGCCATTTGTGTGACTCTGGCCTTACAGAGGTCTCTGTAACAGTCTCTAACGTTTGTCATGAACTTTTCACCTTAACCGTGTCTTTCTGTATGCCTCCTGGTAAATATGACTCTTTGGTGAGTGTTATGAGCCTCATGTTTATTCTTATGAACATTTGCTGGTTCCTAAGGTCTTTCTTTTCCTTAGATCAGCAGCATAAAATTTAGATTTTGTTTTCAAAGTGAGAAAATGGGATTCTTTTGGCACTAGCTAAGTGAGGAATTGTGATCTTAGAGTATACATGATCTAGGCCACTCAGCTATCGAAAAGGATAATTAAAGTTCACAGGAGATATTAATAGTTGCTGCCTCTTTTCCCAAAGAGAGGAAAATCAAAGGCTTTACACTTATTTTTTCTCTAGGTTATAAGACGTATCTACAATTGAGTAAAAAATCAAAGTAATTTCTCTAAGATATGGAACTTTAAGGTAACATCCTTTCTTTCATGCGCTGTAGTTAGCTCCAAAGTACTTGATCACGAAACCAAAAAATTATCTTTTTTAAATAAACCTTTTAGGGATGAAAGTAAAGGTATTTACAGAATCCAAATTAGAAAAACTATAATTGCCTGGCACAAGTACTGAAATTATTAGAGTTTTGGAACTGTGAATCAGGAATAATGTTTGTGATTAGATACTTAAGATTCCTAGATAAAATGTTGTACATAAATGGATTAAGTGATTGCCATGTATTAGATGTTTAAAATGTGAGCTGTTATTTTGCAAGGCACATAGTAGAGTGCCTTGTGTATAACATAATAATAATAAATATTAGGTGAATAAATGAATGAAAATTAAGAGGCTAGTATATTTTGGCAATACTAAGCATGATTTCTTCAGGCGTACTAATAAGATATAAAGTATACAGTAGCATTTATATTTTTATGTATATTAGCATATATAATGTTTATACCGCTCTATACACATATATATCTTACCTATATAATGTAACTCTGGTTAAGAAAGCTAGTCAGGCATTGTCCTCTAACATTTTATTATGAGAATACTGAAACATAGAAAATTTGAAGAATTATGTAATGAACTCCCATATACCCACCACCTAGATTCTGCATTTAACTTTTTATTGTATTTGCTTTGTTACCTATGTATCTGTCCATTTTCTATCCACCCACCAGTTCATCTAAATTCTTTGATGCATTTCCACATAAATTACAAATATCAATACACTTTACCTCTAAACACTTAGAATTCAGTGTTTATTTATAGCCTTTTTTTGGTGTGTAAAATACACATGCAATGACATGCACTACCCTGAGGGTACCATCCAGTGACTTTGATGATGCATTCATTCACCTTTGTAGCCCAAACCCGCATCAGCACGTGGACTGCAAGGGTCACTTTGGAAAGTTCCTCCTGCCCCTTCCCAGTCTCCATTCAAACCCCCTAGAGCAACAGCTATTTTCATTTGTTCCCACCACAGATTAGTTTTCCCTGTTTCGTAACTTCATATAAATGGAATCTAAATAATATCATTTCTCTTTGGTAAATAAATACCTTAGGAGTAGAATAATTGTTAGATTATATGGTGGGTGTAGGTTTTGTTTCCTGAGAAACAGACCTTTTTCCAAACTAGTTGTACTTTTTTGTGTTCTCACCAGTGATGTATGAGAAATCTAGTTGCTCCATATCCTTATCAACATACATAATTGTTTTAATTTTTGCATTTCTGGTGTGCATGTAGTGGTGTCTTATTATGATTTCGATTTGTATTACCTTGACAACTAATGATGTTAAACACATTTATGTGTGTTTATTGACCACTTGTAAATCTTCCCTTCTGGAGTGTCTGTTCAGATCTTTTGCCCATTTTAAAAAATTGGATTGTTTGGGTTTTTTTTATTGTTGAGAAGTAAGAGTTCTATAAATATCCTGGATACCAGTCCTTTGTTAGATTTATGTTTTGTAAATATTTTCTCCCAGTCTGTGGCTTGCATGTTCACTTTCATAATATAGTGTCTTGATGAGCTGAAGTTTTTCATTTCGATGAATATAACTTATTAATTTTTATGATTATTGCTTCTTGTGTCCTGTCCTATTACTGCTTTGCCTGCCTCCAGTCTTGATGTTTTCCTTTGGAAGTTTTATAGTTTTAGCTTTTACGTGTAGGACTAGGATCTATCTCAGTTTTATTTAAAACATTTTTATGACACCTCTGTAGTTTATAGCAGTAGGATCCAGTCCTAGCTGTACCTAGAATCATCCGGAGAACTTAAAAAATATATAGATAACTGCCCCTTAGAGCAGTTAAATTAGAATCTTGAGTTTATTATTTGACCTCACTGAACGTCACATTTCTCACCTATAAAGTGGAAATGACGATACTTACTAAATTGAATAACTGCCAGGATTAAAAGAAATAATATGTATATCTAAGTAATTTAGCATAGAGCCCCACATGGCAATAAGTAATAATTATTCAAACTTATGTCATAGTTATTTTGCATATATATTTAAGAGTAGTAATAGCTTATCAGACTTGATAAAGGCAGCATCATCTTATTTAGCCATATAATTATTTTGTAATTCAAGTCTCCCTAGTTTATTTGACCAGAGATTAAGCAGAGCAATATCCTTGGGTCACTCTGTCACCTCAGCTCCTGCCCCCCCAAGCCAGAGCTGTCCGTTTAAGACTAGGGCACTAGTAACGAGCAGCCACACTCACACTTGTGTGTTGCATAGAGGGCATGTTCTTGTGCAGCCCTTGTGTCTTTGACTCGTGGGAACTTTTGCTAACCTGATGCCTTTGCAGATTTTCAATATTATATAAGCCCAAAGGAAAAAAAGCTGATGGTAGAGATGACACTTTTTTGTGTCCTGTTCTTCCATATGCAGGAGAAAAACCAATTGTGAAAATTTGCAGGAGGAAGGATTTTTGTGTCAATCTTAGATATAGAGTCAGTCTTAGTTTCCCCAATATGTTTTCTTTGTCACACACATACACAACTCCCACACAGCCCTTCTCTCTTATGTCTGTCTTTCCAGGTCTCTTCTGTTTCTTTGCCCTAACGGAATCTTAATGTATCCCTAGCTAACAACTGCATATTAAGGGGGGGAAAAAAAGCCTTGTATTTAACAGAGAATTATGTTTTGGTCATCTGCTTATAAGACTTGTAATATCACCTAGTTTTGACTCCAAGGAAATAAAATGTTTTAGTTAACACTAATCTCATGGCACCATTTCTCCAGACAATGGAATAATATCCTAAGTCCCAGAAAGTATTTGATTAGCAGACATTTTAAGGTAGATGATCTCTAAAGAAAGACTGACATACAGCTTGAGAACTCTTAAGAGAGACTTGAGATCTTAGGCATGGAACATTCTGATATATGTCAGAAGCCATAACTTTTTTTTTCTTCTAATATATAGTGGAGAAACAGCATACCCAAAACTGAGTACTTTTTTTTCTTTTGCAGGGGGAGGGAAGACAGAATGGGAGGAGTAATAGTTCATATATCTCTTATTAGTATTTGGCAGATCTGTCTAAGAACTTCAGCACTAATAGATTCAGGGACTAGAAAGGAATTTTCTTTCAAAAAATTCAAGACCTTTTTAAAACTCTGCTTTTCTTTTTTCCTCTATCATCCATGATTTAAATAGATGATACCTTTCAACAGACCTCATATTAATTTCTAACCTCTTTGATCTAATTTAAGTCTTTCATATTAGATGAAAAGGCACAGTGAAGTGACTTATCCATAGTCACATACGTAGCTATAGAAAGGCTGTGACTGTAATCTGGGTTCGATTTCTGGTGAGGCCACTATTTTCTATTCTGTAGGAATAGTATAAAGAGTTGATGAATTTGGGAAGTTCCTTTGAAAACACTTAAAAGTCTTGGGAATACATAATTTAGAGCCTCTTTTAGATTCAGTCCAGGATTAATGAAAGTCATTTGCTTTAGTATGTAATAACTGAGCTCAATTCTGAGTTTTTTCCTGCTTTTCCTTTTTCACGGAATAGCCACCAGCTCATAATGAGAGCTGCATGGTACAGTAAAAATACTTCATTGTAAGAATATTATTCTGTATAAACCTCATTCTTACCAGGAAAGCAAGACTGAAGAAATCACGTAGTTAGAGTGAAGAATCCCTGGTTATTTTTCAGTGAGATCAGTTAAAGGCACACACCAGGAAATGTCATAGCACATACCAGGAAGAAAGACTGTGTTGAGGCTATATTGTAGGCAGATCCCTCCTTGTTTAAAATGTGTATAAACAGACCACCAAAGATTCTCATTTTATTTTGAGTTTGAGATTAGTAAAGTGCCAGAGAAATAGCAGGTCCTTCCAAGACTGGATGCGAGTGAAGAGCACCTATTCTATTGTCTGTGAGTTATTTCCAAACTGGTAAGAGCTAACTTCTAAGAAGAATATATGATAAATAGACAAATGAAAACTTTTAAGAGCTTTTGTTTCTTTTAAAGCCTTTCTTATGTGTTTAGAACAAACTTTTCACACATTTTGCTTTACTGATATCCATTCTGTTTGTCCCTTGGTACTGTTTTGAGAATTAGAAATTTAGGCAGTTAAGGGTGAGCGTATTAGTTTCTCAGGGCTGCTGTAACAAATGATCATAAACTGGGTGGCTTAAAACAACAGAAATTTATTTACTCATAGATCTGGAAGACAGAGGTCCTGAAATCAGTGTGTCAGCAGGGTTGTTCTTCTGAAGGCTCTGAGGCACAGTCTGTTGCGTGCCTCTCTCCTTGTTGGCAGTCCTTGGCATTCCCGGGGTTGCAGATGCATCACTCCAGTCTCTGCCTCTCTCTTCACAAGGCACTCTCCCTGTGCGTCTCTCTGTGTCTCCTCTGCTAAGACACTACTCGTGTTGGATTAGAGGCCCACCCTATGTCAGTATGACCTCATCTTAACTAATTATATCTGCAAAGACCCTGTTTCCAAATAAGATCACACTCGGAGGACACATGTTTGAGGAGGACACTATTCAACCCAGTACAGTGAGAAAGCTAAGGCATTCTAGAAGTGTCCTCTAGGATTCATGGCCGTTTACACTGTCCTTCTCTGTGGAGAGTGGCCCCACAAGTAGGCACCCTTTAGGATGCCCACCTCAGTCCCTCATTCACTTAAAAGAATAGTCAGTAATTTTATTTTAAAATAATACCTACCCTATTTTAGAGTTTACTTGGTCCACGTAGTTTTATTTTGTAGTGAAAGTCCCTGTGAAGGGACTTTTCTGATACTGACTTTGAGATCTTATTCTTATCAGATTTTTAAAAGATGACTGAGATAAAAGAATAGGGCATTTTCAGTTCAAATCAACCTTGGTTCAAATCTTGATTTTGCTGCTCACGCCGTGTACTTGGGAGAGTCCGTTAGACAATCTGGGCCTCAGTTTTTGACCTGTGTAGTGATCCCCTTGCATCTTCTCTCTCAGTTGCATTTCACAGCTTAAAAAAGAAATTTAAGGAAACTAGATTCTAGAGAATGGGAAAACATCTTACATTAGCTGGTGAGAAACAGCCCAAAAGATAGGAACAGTGCTTTAGAAGATAGTGTGCTTTTGAAGTATTATGTTCTATTAAACCTTTAAAAAGATTCTCCTTACAGAGTAGAGTTTGTTTTCTATTTCAAAGCTAAAAGGGCTCAATAGTTCTTATTTTTTTTTTTTTAATCTTTCTCAAAGAACTGTAAATTTCTTCAGTCTTAATTAAAACATTGTGTAGACTGGTTAATTAGGAAAATATTGTGAAAAAAGACAAAAAAAAATCATAGAATGCCCTTCCCTGTTTCCTGACCCCTATCGTGTAAAAGTACAAAATAAAGATATTTAGGCCATGCCCACATAGTAACTGAGAGTATGATCATGCATCTTAGACACTTGTTTATCCTTTGGCCTTTTGGTTGCCATGAAGCTCATCTTTCCTTCACCCATCAAATTATGTGTTCTGGTTCTCTCAATAAGTGGAGACAACAAGAAGCCTTTTAATAGGGCTGCTAGGACCAAAGTTGCACAGTTCCTGTTGGGCTCTAGAGATTGGCCAGGGTAAGGGCATCATCACTTTATCAAAGACCTCATTGCCAGGACTGATTATTTAGTGTATGATTTGGCTTCATAACACTTAGCCAATTCTCAGTGAAAACAGAAAAAGGAATCACTTTCTTCCATTTAAGTACCTGTGACAGATATTTAGGCATATGTGGCAAACTTTAGGTGGGATCATAAGCTATTCTGCATTTTTCAGAAGGCCCCTTAAAGCAATCACGGGCTTGCTTTTGGAATATTAATTTCAGCACATTATTGTAGCCAACCAGACTGCTTTATTTACAGTTAAAGTTTGTGAAAAAAGTTAAAGCCAATATGATATGAATGTAGAGTTTTCATATGGCAGAAACCCCAGAGACAAATGGGTTCCCTTCATTTTGCTGGATGGTAGGTACTGACTGAAAGAACCCTAGCAGGGATGGGGAACCTGCAGCCTTCTGATTTCAAGATTGTTCTTTTTTAAGCACCAAAGGAGGCAAGAAAAGCTGCTTCTTTCTCTGCTGCCCCCCTTTTAATAAAAGGATTTGTTCTGTAAAATTTGGATTCAGTCAAAAGGCCACAGTCTAGGATCCAGAAGGCCACATGTGGCCCCAAGGCTGCAGGTTTCCCACCCCTGAAAGGGGGTTTGAATCCAACTGTGATATGCTTTAAAAAAAAAAAAAACTCTCTATTTGAAGCCAGTTATGATCTTGCCTGTCTGGGACTCACTGTGAAGCCACTGGCTTGATGTGGAATACTAAAGCTGTCTGCTTGATCCTGCTAGTTTCAACCATACATGCTTTCTCTCCGTTACAGCCCGAGGAAGAGCAGTTGATATGTGATGTCACCGGATCCAGTTCTTCCACTGATGACACAGCTTCCCTGGATCGACATTCTTCTCATGGCAGTGATGTGTCCCTCCCCCAGATTTCAAAGTCAAACCGGTACAGAGATCGGCAAAGCCTTGATGGCCTCTATAGTCATGGGGCAGGAGCTGATGGTCGAGAGAGTGAGAGTGAGCCTGCTGGCCCAGGTGACATGGAGGAGGAGGAGATGGACAGCATCACCGAAGTGCCTGCCAACTGCTCAGTCCTAAGGAGCTCCATGCGCTCTCTGTCCCCCTTCCGGAGGCACAGCTGGGGTCCCGGGAAAAACGCAGCCAGTGACGCTGAAATGAACCTACGGAGGTGAGTTGGAAGACTCTACAGAGTCTCGGTGTCTGCTTCCTTTTGAGAAGTTTCTGATTTGGTATTACCGTTGGTAGGCGCATTTAGGAGACACCCTGTCATAGGATGGAATGTAGGCTTTGGAAGCAGGAAACTCTTGTGTTCAAACTCCAGCTCTATACTTGACTGTGGAGATGACCTTAGGCAAGTCACTTGACCCTTCTGAGCTTTAATTTTCTCATCTGTAAAATACCTTTATTATTAGTAGTAACAATAAAGTAAAATAGGACTGTCATATGGTGAGTGTTTAGTAAATGGTAATGTTTATTCTTACCAGATTTATTAATGAAATTCATGAATTAGAAAATACTGGAATAGTGTCCTGTCAATTTTGAATTAAGAAATAAACATGAAGTCTTACAGTCTTAACACTAAGTTTTTCAAAGTGCTTTCTGAGAATTAAAGCCTCTTTCTAATGCAGAAAGAGAACATAAGACTCATTACGGATCATTAAAATATTGGTATTTTCCCGTGTGTCATACGGTCTTGCCCAGTGTTAGTCCTTCAGTTTGGGAGCAGGCTGCAAGAAGAACAGTTGGATTTGGCTTCTGACCACTGGCTGGCTGTCTAGATGAATTTAGGCGGGTGGTTTTAGCTCTAAAAAATGAGTGCCATGGTGCCTACTACATTTACAAGAGTGTGCTTATTCCAAAGCTACTTTCTTAATAATGAAAATAGCTAAGGGAGGAGGCTGATAGTTGTTTTAAAACAATTATAAACAGCTCAGCTGGAGCAATTATTTGCTTAGTTTTAATTTAAATTCCTCAACCTCCTGATAATATTATGGCCATAAGTACGTGTAAGCTAATGACATTCATTCACTCATTTATGTAGCCAGCATATATGGAACACTGACTGTAAGCCAGACACGGTTGTAGGTTTTGGAGATACCTAAACAAGGAGTAAACAAGACAAAATCCGTTTCTTCATGGAACTCACAGTAATGCCTTCTTACACTTTCCTATTTGCTAGTCTTTTAGACAGTTTTTTAAACAACACATTTTCTCATGTAATTTTTCAATCCCCTCCACGAGTGAGGTGGTATTATCCCCTGTTTGCAGATAAGAACACTACTGCAGATTGTTTAAATCGATTGTCCAAGGTCAGTAGAATCCAGGTTTCTGGTCACTTTGTCAAATGCTCTTTCTGTAATTTCATATTATTCTATGGTGGCATTCAGGGTGCCGACCTTAAAAATAAGTGGTGTACCTACGAGGTACTTCTTTTATCTGTATGAGATCCTAGATTATATACAAAGCAATTTCTAAACACATTCCTTCCCAGTTTTCTTCATCTCGTACCTTTTTTTTTTTTTTTTTAAGCATCTACAACAGAAAATATAAGGACATGGGGAATGATCCCTACAGCCAGAATTCTCTTCCTGAAGCAAGGGTAACTTCTTGACAGAACATGCTTGTCTTAGGTGATAACAGCATCAAGGAATGAGGGTTATTTTATATATAACCCATTTTTCTTTATAACCCATGATGGATCCCGTTGTTGCAACTTTGGTTTTAGAGCTGCATGTGACTGTATGGATCATGTAGCTCAGATGAGGAAATTGAAGCTCAGATTAAATGATTTGCCCAAGACTACATGATTATTTTAAGACTAAATTGAGATTAGAACCCAATTACCTAAGTTATTTATATTTTTAACCTGTGTATTGTCCTGGGACCTCCTGTTTGAACTTAGCATTAAGGGTTGCTTAGCACCACTGTCCTAATACCTCCAGAGATAATGGAATGAGAGTCGGGTTCCATTTATCACTTTAATTAGTTTGACTAATTCTTACAGTATTACCTGAATACTGTAATGTAACCTGAATTTCAGATTCTTTTAAAGTTTTGATTGGTAATTTTTTCCTGATCCTTTTACTTTTATAATTCAATAAACTTTATAACTTTTATGATCTGATTAACTCCTCAGAGCAAGGAGAAAGCAAAGTAGCCTTCCACAGAAATTATCAGGCCTTTTTGGTTCTGATATTTTTTTATTCCACATTCTTTCATTCACTTACCTCCTGTGCTATTTCTTTTTGGAGATTGTCTCTCTTCCCAGTGTGGTGTCTGTATGTTTCATGCATTTGTGTCCCATTTTGTTTCACTTGCAACATTGACCTCTTCCACTGTTCATTTTCAGTTCAATGCGAGTTCTTGGGGATGTTGTCAGGAGACCTCCCATTCATAGGAGAAGGTACAGAGTTCACTAACTTGATGGATTAACCACATCATCTCTAAGCATATACTAACAAGCATCTCGTTCTGCTTTACCTGTTTTTAAATAATGTCACATCTAATTGAGGCAAATAAAATATGGATATTTATTAGTTGCTGATGTCCACATGAAATAGTTTCTTTAATTTGGAGTTTATCCTATTCTATTTTTATTTTTCTAAAAAAATTTTTAACAAATGTTTTTTCCATCTTGCACTATTGATGTTCAGATGACTTTGATGATAGGGTCTCACCCAACTTTTTCTAGGAGAATTAAAAGAATTGTCTATGTTATACCTATCTAATGGACCCTGGGGAGTACTATTTTTCTCTCTCCACAAAAGAAGAACAAGAAGTGTGTATGTAGTTCGTGCATAGGCCCTAAAATATTTTCAAAACATTCTTTAATAATATGAGGAAAAACTTTATTAACTAAGCCACCTGACATTTTCCATTTCATTGCTGATGTAGTCATTTCTTAAAGTAAATAAGAGGCATAAATTGATCTCTCAGTCTTTGAATTTCTTAATTTTTATTTGTCAGATAGCATTTTTAAGCTAAAAATAAGTGATTTATAAGTTGAGAAGTCATTTCTAGTCAGAGTGTTGATTTGCTTTGACTTTTTCAAAAACTGAGTTTTGTTTTACTTTTCTCATTCAAAAATTATTAGTGACCTTTTTTCCATTGTTTGGAAAGATACTTAGAAATTCCAAAATTAAGATTATTATTACTGTTAGCTTCTCATATTAGGAGACATTTGTAAAGAAGTATTTTTAACTATTAGCTGAACTTGTTTTTTGGGAAGTGGGCAAATGATCTTTCCTACTTTGTCTTTTTCAAGTGGATGCTCTCTTTAATTCCAGATTGTAGGCAGAAATTGACCTTAAATTCAGATATTCTCATGAATCTCAGATAATCATTAGTCCTGTTAAGTTACTATTCCAGGGAACAAGTTGTTAAATGCCTTTTTCAGCAGAAGATAACCAGAACCTTTTACAGATACATTTGTCTGGCTCTTTGTTAAAGCTCTTCAATATGAACTTACTAGAAGCATGCACTGGATGACAAGGTCGCAGGTGACAAGGTGCTGGATGCAGTCTAAGTTAACATATAGATATAACTGTCATAAACCACCTCAGTTACAGTTTGACCCTTAGTGAAACTTGTTTTTATAGGATGTATAATTTAAAATTTTGTAAAATGGAAACATTCCAACAAATATTAAAAGGGGGGGAGGGGTTATTTTTTTAAAAAAAATCTAGAACTTTCTAAATCTTAAAAAAAAAAAAAAAAATTTTTTTGAAAAAAAAGGGGGGGGTTATTTTTTTAAAAAAAATCTAGAACTTTCTAAATCTTAAAGCTGAAGAACCATTAAATATTACCTGCACTAATTGAGGAAATTAGGATACTCTCAAAAACACTCTTAATTATGAAAGGAGTTTTCTGCTGCAAGGAAGGACAGACATTGCAGCTTTCTTCCTGGATCCTTAGAAAAGCTATTATGTCTCTCTTCCTGTCTCTTCATTGCTTTTCATTCTCTGCATCTTAAATTTCATCCCAGTCTTCCACATTATTGTCATATTCTGAGAGTAAAAGGGATGTTTAAATCTGTAGGAGATTATTATTAAGAATGATAGTTTGGCAATGTGTGTTTAGTTATTGATTTGCCACATTCTGTTTTTTAAAAGAAGTTGGATATTTAGATAAAATATGCCTATTTATTAACTGGAGATTTAAACATTAATTTCAAAGAATGGACTTCTGAGTCTTGTGTGTGTCTGTAAAATGTATCTCGCTTCTCCTCACACAAGTATATTGAAAGTCAGTGAGATCCACCTCACCATATGTAAGAGGTGTCTCAGCTGTGCAGTGTTACTTTCTGCTTTTGCACTTTGGAGCTTTACGCTATTAATTTAATCTGATATAAAATTATTTATGCTATTTATTTTTTAAAGATATTTTAAAACTTTTAGAAGAGCCATAGGAGTAGCTCTTACATCGTTCTACCATTTTCCCTATCTCCTTTCCTCTGCCAAAAAAAAAACAACCCACTTGACAAGAAAGCAGACTGGTTAGAGTTCAGGATAGGTGTTTTTCGTGTCTGCAGGCCTTCCCGTCTGCAAGATTCGGGAGGGAGCTGAGTGGTTTTATTGTTGTTGTCCAGGAGCTCTGTTTTTATCCCCCTCTGAAAACAAAAGCAGAATTTTATAAATTCACTTAGAACTTTAAGGCCCACATTGCCGAATATTTTTTAAACGATAGCTTTTGTTAATCAAAAATTCTAACCTTTTGATGCAGTTCCCTTCACATAGTACCCTACATTTTGAATTGGTTACTTTTTTAGCTGGTTGTATTAACTTAGCATTTTCAGCCCCAGATTTTTTGTCCCTGCTACTTGAGAATAGATATCAGTACTGGGATAATTAAGGAAGTAGATAATCAAGTGGATTTTTTTCTTATTTTGTGGGGAAAAAGTGTTATAAACTTAAAAATGAAAAAAAGGACACATTTCTAACTCAACACCATAAAATCCCCCCACCTTAAGGAAAAGTCTCTTCATTGTCATTAAAATACAAGAAAATACATGGCCATTGCTACATGCTTTATCTTTAGGCAAATAGCCTAGTGAGTAGGGTTTGAAGTTCGATGTGAGTATTGATGGAATATTCTTACCATGCAAGATCTATGAATTGTCTGGTGTAGGATGGATCCGTAATGGAAACACATGAAAAAAACCGATGACTCAGTGAGCCCAGCGCAGCCCAGTTTGTCATTGTTTCTTTTGGTCCAGGATTACAGGTGCTGTGGTAAGGGTGATGTGGGGCGGTGGGGTGTATGGAGATTGTCCCTCGTAGTGGAGGTTGAAACACTCTGAGAATATCTGACGGGGAAGCCACGGGTGGGGTGGCCTCTTTGCCAAGCGTTCACAGAAGAAATTCTTGGGTTTCAATTTAACTGTTTATCCTATTAAGTAAGAGCTCACATAGTCTTTTCCAAAATACTATCTAGGTGGACATCAAGAGAACAATTTTAAGTTTCCATGGTTCTTATTCTATGCTTTTCCTAAATTCTCAATGTTACATTTCTAAATTGTTTTGACGATTAAGTAAATCCATCTGTCTCTAACTATGCCTTTTCTTTTTAAACCTAATAACCCCATCCCTGTTTCCTCTTTTCTTCCTCCATTTCTGTTTCTTTGATGTCATCCCCAGTATGAGCTGGTGTCCCTCTGGTGTGCAATACTCTGCTGCCCTGAGTGCTGACTTTAATTACAGAAGGTATGGTATTGTCATGTGTCCAGCCACCAAATGGGGAAACATAAAATAGGGCATCTGGGCTTTTGGCTTGGAGCTGGCTTCTGTGTGGCTGGGATGCATATGGGCAGCCTGCTTCGTCTGTGAGCACAGTGTTTCGTTGTCTCTGCTGTGGGTACCGCTAACCCAATTGTTAAAGGGGTGCAGCCAAGAAAGGGGATGATGTACCCTGACACATCCGGTTTCTCTCAAGTGGCTGTAGATTTGGTGTTTCTGCAGACTTATCTCTGTGGTATGGGAGACCACTTCTCTCTCTTTTGGCCTGTCTTGATTCCCAGATCCTGAGGAAAACAGTGAGAGAAGCAGGGCAGCTAATAACATGTACTGATTTCTATTACACTTCCAAATCCACCAATCTGTTTAGATTCCAAATTCAGAGACGACTCATTGTTTCATATTCTCAACTAAGCAGCCAGATTGAATTGCTAAAACATTTTCGAGATTAACTTTCATAGTAAGCGTAGATCTGGTTTTCTCAGGCTTTTTGGTAATTCACAGCAGAAAACTAAATTTCTTCTTCACTTAGCCCCTCTTGTCCCTAGTATTGAAAATTGCTTTTGCAGAGACATTTACTTGTAATTAGTCATGATTTCTGTTGCCATACTGAAATAAGAAAAACAAATCCATTGTTTAACTTACCCACTAGGGAAAATAGAGACATATGGCTTCGGTTCATAGTAAGTGATTTACAAAACCAAAAAAAAAAAAAAAAAAAAGCAAATACAAGCCCTTCTGGACTGGCATGTATGAACTTAATCGTAGCAATTATCTGTACAGTTTTCCCTGGGCAGAGGTAACTAAATAGCTTCAATATACCCTCATATTCAATTCCAGTTGGTTGTTAATGTGGTCAGCTACAACTGAGATCTTGCTTATTTCAAAGAAATTTCCACTGCAGTTGTAACAGATGTGAATTATTCTGGTTAGCAACTCCAAGGAGGATAGATCACTGACCTCCCTCTGTTGCCTCCTGCTTACAGAAAATGCTCTCCCCCTACAAGCCACAAAATCTTTATCCCAGGAATCGCGTTTAAAATACCCAATGCTGTTTGCTTTTTTTTTTCCTTTGCCAGTATCCAGACAAAAAAATTACAACTTTTAGACTTAGGAGCTTTTTGGCATTTGTTCTTTAAAGTGTTACATGTGCCTGTCTGCAACTAACAATTCTCAGAAAGCCTGTCAGCAATTGTTTGGCCAGGTGCGCGCAGATGGTAACACTCCTGGATGATATTTGGGTTTTCTGTGGTGGAAGCATACCTGTAAAGTTATAAAGGTCAACTAGAATGTAGTTGAATGCAGAATTATAAAGGCCCTCTTAATGGACCCAAGGGCAAGTCGCCCGGTTTGCCTTCTGAAAGTTACTTAAGTTCATATTTTCTCTGTGACATTTAATTATTTAGCATTAGCAGAGATAGATTCTGGCAAAGATTAATTAGATTAAGGAAAAACACATATAAAAGATCAATAAGATAAATATGATCTGTCCATATGGCATATTAGAAAAAAAATCTGAAAATGATCTTAGCTGGTTCTACACTTGGATAGATTGAATGAGGTAAGAAAATCTAAGTGCAGTGTTCCTCCTTAGCATTCCAAGATCTGTGGGGAAAGGTAGGTGGTACTCATTTGTGCAGTGCCCTCTCAGACAGTCTTGCTAATTGACACAAATAATACACGAGCAAGGGAGATACAATTAAAGGGATTTTTTTATCCCTTTATCCAGAAATAGATTGAAGTAACTCTTGTGCCCTGTGTTCAGTTTCAGCCTAGAAGGTTTGACAGGAGGAGCTGGTGTTGAAAACAAGACATCTTCATCTCTAGAAGTAAACTCTGCAAACACCAAGGAGCTCAGACACCCTTTCAGTGGTGACGAACGGGGTGACTCTTTGATGTCACTTTCAGAAGAGGATCTGGAGTCAGGCCAGAGAGAACATAGGATGTTTGATCAGGTAAGGGTGAAATATTGCTAATTTGGAAAACATGTATTCTATTTCCCAACATACGACCTCATATCAGGAACACAGAAGGCAAGACTTCTGTTAGTGTAAGGATGTAGCTATGATTATTTATGCATTATATAATATACTTAATCTAGCACTGAAGCAAGTTTTTGGCACATAATACTAATTAAAGAACGCTCTTAATCTGCATAGATTTCAGTGATACATCAAAGCAAACTTTTTAGAATTAGGAAAGTATCCAGGATATTAAATTGTGTTTTTCTTTCTTGTCTGAGGCCTTCTTTTACCACCTCAGTGGTAAAATGAGTCTTGAAGTATGTTATAATATCATTATTAAATTTTCCAATTCTGTAAAACAAATCCCAAGTTTCTTCTTCTTAGGGAAAAAAATACCTTCTTACCACACTGTCCTGGCGATGACTGTTGTCTCTCTGCTTTCTGCCTCCCAGAGTCCGTAAGAGCATCTGCACCCGCTCCCTGCCTTCTCTTTTTCACCACCTAGTCATCTCTCGGTCTCCACTGCTGCCGTCCCTTAAATCTCCTGTCTTGGAGGCCAGGGACTTCCTTGTCAGCCAAACCAAGTGACTTGTTAGTTCTCATCTTCCCAGGCCCCTCATTATCACCTGCCACTGTTGATAGTCTCTTGCTTGGGGAGTTTTTGAGTTGAGAATTTGAATTATCTGTTTTTATAGCATTCTGCCTTACCCGTACCCCTTTTTCCTCCTCTCAGTCCAGGAGGCCTCACATTAATTTCTGAAAGGATCCTGGGATACATCTTAATCCTCCAAATGAAACATCTGTAACTAGAAAAGTAAAAAAGCCCATTTTTGGACTGGGGCTTGGGGTAGAAATCTAATGAAACATTTCTAATTAAAGAAACATGTTAACAACCTGTTCCTCGATTTGGTGACTAGGAGTTTGTGTAGAAATTTAATTTTTTATTGTATCCTACTAAATAGTAATGACATGACCAAATATAAATTTGGCACTGAAGGCCTTAGTAATAAAATGTATCAATTATGCACGTGGGAAGCCTGATGAATAGCAATTTAGGCCTGATGAAAATCAAACTGTAGGCCTGAAAGAATTTTGCCACTTTTTAAAAAATTTCTACTTGGCCTGATACTTTAGAAAAAGTTAGAAAAAATAAGAAGAATACAGAGAATATGCTTATTGAAGCAAGTGATTTGGATTTGTTCAGACTAATGGTAACAGAAAAAGGAAGGAAAAAACAGGAACAATTCTTTGGTGGCTACTTAGCACAGCTTTGCTAGGGGTAAATAAATGAGTGGAAAACCTAAAAAACAAATTGCATTTCAAATGTATAGAATCCTTTGGGAATCATTTGCAAGACCAGGTAAAATACCAAAATAGTGGGGTTGTCAACAGAATCATAGGCGGAGAGCCAATATATCCCTTCGGATTCAGCTCAAGCTCTATGTATGAGAACTTCAGGCCCATTTATGAGTGAGTTGCCTGAGGCCACATAACTGGCTGTTAAATGAACAGTACAAAACTCAGAGTTGCTGGCTGTTTGTCTCACTGCTGCTTTCCTTGTCTGTGAAGTAGATGACTTTTAATGAGGAAATGAGGACGTTTCAATTTTCTTAATATTGTGTATGTGATACCTTTCCTGAAACTAATATTTCCAGGAATTCGACAGATAACCCTGTTTTATATTAAGTGACGTTATTTACCACTGATGTCTTTCTAGAATGGACTTCCTGATTTAGTCTGTCTGGATAAAGTTGTCTATGTTTTCGTGCCTTGCTGGGCTTAGCGTTCCTGGAACTCTCTGCTATCCCTTCTTCTTATCTTGTGTGCATCCTCACAGTGGGTATTCGAGCCGCTTGTAGCGCTCTGATCTGGACAAGTGGCCTGCAGCCAACTTCCTGTTGAAAGTCTTTGCCTTTCACTGAGGTCATTTTTCAGACCTCACAGTTGTATTTGAAACATAGCAACTGTTTGCCTCGGATTCCATGGTTACACATGGAACAAGGTCTAAATAACCAGAAGTCTTTGGCCCAGTTGAGATGAGTTCATGCTAGTGACGAATTTTCATTGCTTCCCTGTCAACATGTGTGAGTCATGAGGAGATAGATTTTAGTCTATAATGAAGGGAAGGGATTAACAATAATTAAAACTAGTTAACAATTGGAATGGGCTCTCTCTCAAAAGAGAAGGGAGCCCCTCATCACCAGAAGTGTGCTAGCAGACACTATGTGACTGTCTTTTAGAGATGCAGTAGTAGGAACTTCTGCAATTGATTGGACTACACGGCCTTGAAGCTGCTGTGAATTTACAGAGCGAGTTAAATTACAAAATTTCAGTCACCGTCATGTTCATATAGAGTCATTCTGATCTTAGACGAAGAGATGAAAGAGATTTAGGCTTCTTTCCAGATACACTGCTGTTCTGCTTATGAGCTTGAAATTTTTACTTGCATCTCAGCTTCTAACTCTTTAAAAATCAGAGTAAGATTGCTGATATCCTACTGAATCTCTATAAGGTATATTTAGATTTTCAGAGAACAAATACTATATGTAGTTTCATATTTCTGGGGTAATTATTATTTTTTT